AAAAAAAAAGTAAACTCTCAGGTTAATTTTTCACTTTTTCCATAATTTTTTATATCAGTGATTGTCTCTATAGAGTTATGAAGTTTCAAATGTACTATTCCCAAGACAATTCTTATTTTAATTGATATGAGGAAAATTACCTTTGGATGTGCAAATCCTTGAAAATCCTAGTGCATTGAATAGGTTGGATCCAAACCCCTGATGTGCAAAGTATTCTACTCATTTTTGAAAATAGTTCCTCAACTGAGATGGAGTGGAAATGCAAATAATGACGGTGTCACCTGTCATTTTAGTTGTAAAGATGTTTGCGATATTTCATTTTCATAAACTTTAACTTTCAGGGGATTCTTAACCTTAAAAATAAGTCAGTTATTTTATCAGCAAAAATGGATTTATTTGGAATATAAATTGCAATTTGGAACCTGCGAGGACAGCAAAACCCTAGGCACACCCAACAAACAAAAGAACAACATTATTTTATGGACAAGGAGGAAGTTGGGAGGGATTGTTTTGGACAAAAGTCCATTGGACAGAGGCAAGAGTTCAGGGTGATGACAGTTTCTCTGAGTTGTTGATGGCAGTTTTTCTTGATGAATTATAGGGGTAGTCAATTTCTTTTCTTTTTCTGTAAAGGATCCTCCATTCTTATTTTTTATTTCATTTTTAAGATTTTTGTAAGTAGGCTCTTTGCTCAACGTGAGGCTCAAACTCACAATCCCAAGATCAAGAGTCTCATGCACCTAGGCCAGCCAGGTGCCCTAGGGGTAGTCAATTTCTTTCTTTCTTTCTTTCTTTTTTTTTAATATTTATTTATTTATTTATTTATTTATTTATTTTTTTAATTTTTTTTTCAACGTTTATTTTTGGGACAGAGAGAGAGACAGAGCATGAACGGGGGAGGGGCAGAGAGAGAGGGAGACACAGAATCAGAAACAGGCTCCAGGCTCTGAGCCATCAGCCCAGAGCCCGACGCGGGGCTCGAACTCCCGGACCGCGAGATCGTGACCTGGCTGAAGTCGGACGCTTAACCGACCGCGCCACCCAGGCGCCCCAATATTTATTTATTTTTGAGACAGAGAAAGAGTGTGAGCAGGGGAGGGGCAGAGAGAGAGGGAGACACAGAATCCGAAGCAGGGTCCAGGCTCTGAGAGGTCAGCACAGAGCCCGACACGGGGTTGGAACTCACCAACCACGAGTGCATGACCTGAGCTGAAGTCGGAGGCTTACGGACTGAGCCACCCCGTCGCCCCTAGGGGTAGTCAATTTCTTATAGGAGATGCAATGGACATCTCTCGGCCTGTAATTGACAGTTCTTTCCTGTAATTGACGTGGAGTGGTGTGGTTACCCCTTCTGGTCCCCTGACTCCATTTTATCTTTTGTTTTGTTTTGTTTTTCTTTTGGGTTTTTATTTTTTCATTTATTATTACTGTTTTTCTCTCCACTCCATTTTAGTGAGACTTTGCTCTATTAATTTTCACAGGATTAAATCTTAACATAACTTCTTTTTTTTTTTTTTTTAATAATATCCTTTTTTTTTTTTTTTTTCAACGTTTATTTATTTTTGGGACAGAGAGAGACAGAGCATGAACGGGGGAGGGGCAGAGAGAGAGGGAGACACAGAATCAGAAACAGGCTCCAGGCTCTGAGCCATCAGCCCAGAGCCCGACGCGGGGCTCGAACTCACGGACCGCGAGATCGTGACCTGGTTGAAGTCGGACGCTTAACCGACTGCGCCACCCAGGCGCCCTTAACATAACTTCTTATATGGAAAAGTGGTTCCCAAATAAAAATAAAAACCATTAAAAAGCAAAATATAATTGATATAGATTTCTCTTTCTGTAAAGTAAATAATGGATGCAAAGGTTAAAAAAATCTGTAAAACATTGAAAATCTAACTTAAGACAATCCCCTGCCAGCATATTGTGGTCCGTGCCGGTCCTGCCCCAGCCACCTTCAGACAACTAGTTTTAATGATTTCTTGTGCATTTTTGTCAGTGTTTCTTTCTATAAAAACGATTAAAAGTGCAAGAGTTTTTCTTTTGTTATAGGAAAGGTGACATGACGTACACGTGCAGCACACTTTTCTTATTTGTTCTATTGCTAATTCTGCAGACCTTTTCGTAGCAATGACAGATGTCTTTGATTTTCAAGTTTATGCAACCAGTTCTAATTAGGCAATCGATCTGCATGTAATATTTTTCTACTTAAGTTCATTAATCAAACTTTTTCATGTTACGTGGTAAGCAAACATACAAAAAGCATATAATTTTCCAACCTTAATTGATGCTTTAAGTTTTATGGTGAAATTTATCGTATTTAGCACACATACAAAGTTTTATTGGACGTTTTAAAACTAATCATGGTGTAAACATCCATAGACTCACCATCTAGATTCATAAATCGGTCTTGGGTAGAGACTCCTGCCATGACCCTCCCTAAATGACGGTCTTGTCCCATCGGTAACTACTGTTTGTTTCTTTGCTTAATCTTCATGCCTTTACCTTTTATGTTTTTTTTTACTAAGCAGTGTTCTGCTTACTTTTATCCCTTCGGGACTTTGAATAAATAAATATTAACGGAATTACGCTGAAAAGGCTTCCCCAGGGTTCTTTGCCTCAGTTTGTTTCATACATGCTGCTGTCTGAAACTGCCATCATTCTTCCTTCCATTCCAGTGCTTATGGGATTTGGGTTTTTGAAGTTTTTGTTTTTTTTTTTTTTTTTTTTTTTTG